TATGACTGACAGGTGATTTGGTGTCCAGGATGAGATTCACCTTTACAGGGCACACAGATGAATGTATTTATCTTCTTGTTAGTCACACTGTCATAGCAATCAGAGGCCAAGCATACAGAGAGGAACAGACCAAGGGCAATCTTTCTTATTGGGCTGCTATCTCTGATTAGCAGAATAGGGAGTCAACTGTCATTTCTAATTGGTAAAATGCACCAAGTCTAATTGCTGTTATAGAACAGCTGACAGTGCTTCTTATTTATTTATTTATTTTTTTACTTTGATAAAGGTTAGTATTTATGAGCTAATCTCCTACAAAGACATAAATAATTACTATAAAATGCATATTGGTCGGTGAAGTGGGTTCGTATTAATTACTCTGCCAATGAGTATTGGCAGCAAAGGAAGAAATAGAGATAAAAATGAGTCCAAGCTAAAAATGAGGAAACCAGAATGACATTTGGACATTTTAAGCAAGTTACTAATGTGACTTATGGAAAAATACCACTGAAGATGAAAAATGGCAAAAGGCACAAAATATCTCCTTAAGGGCATGAAATGTCAGATCATCATCAGAATATAAATGGATGTCTAGTTAACTTTCAGTGGCTAGAAATTAAATGCAATTAAATTGGCTTCATTCTCCAATCAGCATATTCCCAATTAGAGTTGATTTGCACAGACGTTTAATTTTCACAGAACGCAATGTGACACAGAAAGATGTTTTAAGATGTGGTGTTGAAATTCTCAGGCAGCATATACATAACACACATAGTGACATCATGACACAGGCTACTTATTTTTTCCCCATTCAAGTTACTTGACAGAATTTATCTTGAGAAATCACGAATAGTGGATTGATTGATGATGCAATTGCTATAATGAGATAGAAGTCAATATAGTTCTACCCAGGAAAATGACACAACAAGCTGACAGAGACTCTGCTCGCTCTTGTTTTGGCCAAACTTTAGGCAAATGAGATGTGAGCTTCTCCAGCGGCAGCCAATCAGATTGCTGAAATGTGGTGTGATAAGCGTGTTGCCATGAGTCAAGTTACACAAAATATGTTAGAAGGCTCAGCAGGAGATTATTACATTGATGGATTTTTCATTTTAAAACCAGTATTAGACCTGTAGTCATCTGCATTTCAACGGGCACTCATCTAGCCTTCAATCCTTTACGTATGATTGATAAGCTAATGCTAAGATATATTGCTATCAAATCTCTATACCATAGCCTTATTAGCATAACAAAATGCATCTGCAGGACTGAGAAATTCGTTTTTACCACAGTGTGTGTGTCAGGTGTGTGTGAGTGTTTCCTTGTGTTTATTATTTGAAGCCCATTGCTTGCTCACCTGTTATTTAAGGTGATCTCTGACCATGTCTCTGTGAGACATGTCTAGCCAATTTATCACTTCATCCACAGAACACTCTGCACCCTCTGTCCCCACTCACCCTTTAAATCTGCCTTGCACATACCCACCCAAATCACCTGACATGCTCTCATAATGATGATAAACTATGTATCTTACACTTGTTTCATTTTGTGTGTGTGTGAGTGAGAGGGGTGGAAAGTAAGAGAATAGGGTGAGAATAAAGAAAGAGAAGAGAGAGAGAGCTAAAGTACAAGCTGTGAAGAAAGATTCAGTTATGTAATTTGTAAGGGATTTGATTGATTGATTCGTATGAGATATCAGTGTAATTTCTCCAAATTACCAAAGGTAGCCTGGATTGCAATACCATAGCCCATATATATATACACCTCAGTGTTAGGCACCACACTCAATAACAACAACAACACAGTGCACTGCTGTATTTGTTCCATTAGCATGAGGTCATTTTGAATAGAACAAATTACTGAGGGAGCCTCAGCTTTAGCCATTTACAGAAGGTATTTCACTCAGTAATTATTGCTATTAAGATTAAAAACAAAGGGATTGTTCAATTGCATGCATTTATTGTAGACCCATATGCTCATTTCCAATTGCTTACAAGTACATTATCTTGTCACGTTCAAGAAAAGTGGATACTGCATATTTATATTGCAACAAAATAATGTAGGAATCACTTAGTCACTTAAGTTAACTACCTCCCCATCTTGAATATAATCAAAGATTTTCCATGGGCAAGCAAAGAACCCAGCTGGTGACATCCCTTCTTACTAAATATAACCTGTAGCCACAACATACTAGCTTACAAAGCTATTGGAATGAGATCCTAATGTGTGGCAATGACTTATTAGGGCATGTGAATGAGATAATCAAGTTGATAATCAAACAGCAATATGTACATTTTTTTTCTTAAAATTGAAAGTACTGAGTCAGGAGAAAAAAAAATATATATGTTATCTGTGCCCTATTGCAAATCATTTAAAAGTCAAGTCAGATTTCACATACGTTTTTTGGATCTGAAGCACAACTGATGTTAGAAAATGTTCTTCCGCTCATTTCGTGCAACTGCATGTTTCAATCAGAGCGGTCTTCAAATCCCCTAAAACTTACATAATGTAGCGTTCAGTAGTGATCTCTATCAACTACTACAACTTGATTATCTCTTTTCATGCTTTACTTAATATACCCTAGTAAGTTGTGGTGAAGCATTAGGATCCCATTTCCATGCCTTAGTAAGGTGTGGCCATGCATTATTTTTATTAAGAAGGGATGTCATCAGTGGGACTCTGTAGGCAAGGCAGCAGTACTGTCAGGAATGAGTCTCCTAAGACTAGAATGATTGTGGGTGAGCGTTACCACATACTTCGATGCCTTGTCCTGGTTCTTTACATCAGATCATTGGCGTCTGTGGTTCTTCCCTAATGTGCACAGTGAATCACATTAAGAAAGTGCAGAATGCCATAGTTTACTGTACAAGGAGCACAAAGCACTGCTACATCAGGTTATTGGTGCCTGGGGCATAAGGGAATGCGCAACAGGAGCCACTCTAGTGCATGCCCTCATGTGTTAGATCATATTGCAGAGCCTTCCACAGAGCACAGAATTACTGCACAGAAGTGACAGAAAATGCTGCATAACATATCGTCAATTACCATACTAACATTATGACTGAACTGAAATTATTCATTATTTAACATACTATAATTAAATATGTGGCTTTGCTTATTTTGTGTCTATATTTATATGCATGCATGCCTTTGTATCTGTTTGTGTGTGCATATATGTGTGTGTGTACATGCTTGTATACTATAGGTATGTGTGCACGTGTATATGTATTTCTGAAAACACCAATATTAGAAGAAAAAAATGACATTAACACAAAAAGTATTGATTTTGTGTGGCAGTGTTTTCATTTTACCATTTCTAAACATCTGCAAGCCCAGTATTATTTGCAGAAGCCCAGTATTATTTGAGTTATCATTCAGTAACTGGTTTGGCTCAATCAATGCTTTATTAATCAAAAACAGGTGCTCTGGTGATGGAAATGAACAAATCTATGTGATGGCTGGGGTTGTTGATGGGAAATCTAGAACCAAATGTTTATTATCCAGATAAATGGTTTTTCAACACTTTGCTTAGATCTTGTAAGCTAACATTCTTTTTTTGTCTCTTTGATTTTATTTTTGAAATGTCATCCTTTGCACTAAATCTTACTTAGTAAATAGTATAAAGTATGTACAGGAAATAGGGATGGATGGACCAGTGGGACAGGGAGGGATGGGGTGGGTAAAGGGGTTGTTTTTTTTATTTCCTGCAGTTCTGTAATGTTGTGATAAAATACTGCTTGATTAACAGGAAACAAATAAAAAAAATTGATCACAAACACTTTGCTTAGATGCCTGTATAGGGCTACATATATATGTATATGTATATGTCCCTATACAGGCACCTAAGCAAATTGTTAAAAAAACAAAACATAGGCATATGTGTGTGTGTGTGTGTGTGTGTGTGTGTGTGTGTATGTCTGTATTTAGGTGTGCATATCTTCCTATAGTCGGGTTATTGTCCTCACTGATCGACATCCCACAGGAATGTATGTCTCTCATTCATTGAATCTCTGTGAATTCCTGCGTTTTTACACTAGGCTCTTTTGTTAACCAATTAAAATGCACTTTGTATGTGACGTCAGAGCTGCTCCGGGAAGATGCCGCTTAGCTTATTCCATTCCAGGGTTTGGCGCCTCCCGCTTCGGCTCCAGTCCGATCAATCACCGCGTTGCTGCTGTTTTTCCCCCCACCATCCGAAAACCGTCTCCTGTTCGGTGAGTGGCTAGTAGGGGCGGAAAGGATATCCTAAACCATATGCTGCGTCCAAAACCACATACTACCATACTAACTAGTATGTCAAAACTAGTACGCCACCATTAGAAATCCATTCATTAGAATAGTATGTAAAGTATAGCAGTATGCTGATGTGGACGCAGCCATATACTCATTTTTATTGTGGACGAACGATTTTAATGAAAGAATGAATCGAGTAACTCAGGAGTAGCAACCACTGCTTGAATAAAACAATATCAGGTCCAAAAACTCCTCCAGTAAAGAGTTAAATGCACAGAACTGCAGTTGAACTTCTTATGAGCCTATATCCAGCATTTGTTAGCATATGAACTGAAGTTTGAAGGGATCTGCTGAAGCCTGAGCAACAGAAAGGCAGTCCAGGGGCTGTCACCGACAGGTAAAAAAACAATTAGGAATTAAATGCGAATGACTAAAATAAAAGTAGATTACTCTTACATTTGCTTAATATATGTAAAATCAATAAACAACTTGCAAAATACCTAGAAAAGTACACCTCCATTAAAACTGTAGGCAAATTTTTAAGTACCTATAGCAGAGTAAATATAACAGCCGCCTTTGGAAGTAGTATTCCGCCTCCTGCTCTGGGATTAGCTAGTAGTTCATAAGAACAACCAGCCAATCCCAGCGCACGAACTGGGATACTTCTAGCCATTCCAAGTACAGGAGGCGGGACTTGTCGGAAGAGGGTGGGGGGAAAAACAACGCTGCTGCAGCACCGTGGTTCTCTCCCTCTCACACACACGCTTGAGATGAGTCTTGGCGGTAGGGGGACCTTCTATCCTTGGCAAGCCGCGCTTTAATTCTAGCCACACGGCGAGACTCCAGCAGAGATACACACACGGTGGACACTGTTACGGATTTATTTCTGTTTTTTTGTCCAGGAACTACGTCTTCTTGATCTGAGTCGACACTCTGCAGGTAAGAGCGGTATCTAGTGTGAGATTACCCATGCTGTTGATTGTAGTTTGACATTTTTGCATTGCTTATGGTGCGAATGAAGGAACGCTGCGAAGTCTACGAAACCAAACCAAACGCCCCCAAATTGATGAACGTTAGCTTGGTCATGGTGTTGATATTCATGAGTCTGGCAGTTTGCCAGTTGTGCTTTTGGCTGTGTGATGGATTTGATGGTCAAGGGGGTTATTGTCCAATGTCATAACGATTTCGTTTAGCGGATTCCACATAAGTGCCAGTCAGTAACGTTGCGTTAGGCGCTGAACTGTTGACTGTGAGACCGTTGGGACCGTTTGACCGGTACATTTTAAACTGAAATTTTGCCCGCGTGAACGTTAATTGTGCAATTTGGCTCTGAAAGTCATTGAATATGAATTTGCCGAATTTGAGCCCTGTCGTTGAAATAAGTTTAATGTGATCTTCAAGGCCTTTACACATACATTAAATAGAGAAAAACGTTGCTTGCAAAATTTGCCTGTAATACTGGCAGTTAATCTCTGAAATAAGCCAAGTTAACGTTAGTGAATTGACACGCTTCCACAGAATATGTACTACTGCACAAAAGGCTAAAGCCACTGTAGACGATTATAATGAAAAAACGTTGAGCATGAGATGCAACCCTTTACTGGCTGAGTGATAACACATTGGGATTCGTTATGTTCATTAAGCCACAGCATTTTTCCTTGCTGAGACTTCACTTTGTGACAATAGTTAGTTTTAGACTGGACGATGGTGCATCATAGTCAGGGTCCTTGACCTGTTTTGTCGTGTATTAGAAGCAAATTGATGCTTATTAGGCATCATTTGCTATCTTGTTAGTTGAACACATTTAATGGATGCTTGTAAGCAAATTACATATTTATCACATTTTAGGTACAATAGCGTAACGATTATTCATATAGATGAACACTCAAAAGGCTGAAATAGATTTTGTCATTGTCATACACCCACTTTATTTCTGGCAAGTGTCAAACTCATTGGTACTGTTTTCCACTACATATGCGGAAAGGCCTTCAAGCGAATAGTGGTCTTTGTGAACAGCTAACAAGCTCCTTTTTGAAAAGATTGAAAAATCTATAAACAATAGTGAATATATATACTCAATAATAGTAAACAAGTAACACTAAAGTCAACAAATCTGTAAACAGGCAAGGCAGTTTGTTGCTTAACACTAGATATAAAACCCACCTTTGTGGCTTCATATTTGGCAATTAAAGTCTATGGGTGGCCAATGTTCTGTTATTGTTATTGTGATGAATTGTGTTACTGTACACTTTTCTGAGTATATCATGGGTATTGTCAGTATTTCTAAAACACTGAATAGCTGCATGTGTCAACACATTGTGCCATTATTTTTATTTTATTAATGTATTCATACATTTATTTATGAAGTTAAACATGTTTTACAGATATTGTATTACATTTTTTTTTTTTACCCATATAGGGGTGGGTGCTATAGGTGAAAATGACGATATATATTATGCATCACTGTGATTAGTTTTTCAAAGTTTGAACCAACAAAAAGAACCAAAAGTGCCACAAAGAATTTATTAATGAAATCACTTATTTTCAGCATTTCACATAGTGTTGCACTACATCCAATTAAACAGCAATTATTACAATCTGTCATGAAACATGCAGTTCACTGTTTTTAAAGTACTAATGATACCCAAGATATGCTCAGAAAAGCATATTGTGATGTAATTTGTCATGATGATGATTAAAATCATCATTTTGCCCACCCTATTCATAGTTTTTTATATCCTTTTATAAATGTGTTTCTGTCACTTTGCTAGTGCATTTTTTCTCTTACAACTTTTTTACAAACCTTAGAAAAACAAAATACTGTGATGCACATCAAGTACCATGATGTTATATTTTTACCATTTTGCCCATGCTCAATATTACACACAGCACAGTGGCCCTGCTGCGGGGCTTTTTGCTATGGGAGATTCAAACAGACCAGAGATGTTCACAAACCCTGGAATAAAAATCTTTCATAATTGAAAGCTTTATTTTTAACCTCAAATCATCTCACTGTGTCTTTTTCTTTCTCTCTCTCTCTCTCACACACACACGATCTCTAACTCTGATAGAAGGTTCTATATGTGCTCTGGTCTCCATTCTACGTTCTTTTCCCTCTTGTAAAGTACATCAATAATGAATGCCTCTCAGATTGGTGTTTGTGTGTGTGTATGTGTGTTTTAAGGAATTTCTCTCATTGTTACAGGGTCCACTGCCCCTAAAAACAATTTAAACATGAAACAGATGGCTTATAAAAACAGATGGTGTTCAAGTGTGTATAACTGTATGTTTATAAGACCTGACTGATATTAAAATTTTGTGACTGAAATTTTGATAACCAACATCAGCCAATATAATTTTATATTTATATTTTAAATTTTCATTTTATACTCCAGATGTTTGAGTTAAATAGTGCTTTAATGAGTAATAGTATTGTCTGTCCCAATTATCACATATTTTAAACTTAAATAAACAACAGAAATTCACTTAAGATATTGTAACTGTGGTGGCAGAGTTACCTACAGCACTTTGCGTGTTTGTCGTTTGAATTTTGTTTGTTTTGACTTTAGTTAAATTGTTTTTTCATAGTTCAGAAGTTCAAGTCCTGCAGGTGCTGCGACCACAACCCCCCCCCACTAATTATCGGCCGATACCAGTAATACTGTGGGCTGTTAATATCGGCCAACCAATAGACTAAATATAAATGTCCGTAAACATGAGGGAAAAAAAAGGATTGTTTGTCATTTCAGAGATAACTGTACTGCATGCAGCCATGTGTCTTGCATTTTGACTTAAGCATGTTCCATGCTGTGGCATGAAACTGCTGTTGAGGCTTCCCCTTCCCTGATCATTTGTTTCAAGGAATGTTGGTCTTTTTGTAGATAAGTGTAATGCATGCAGGCGTGCGCAAGTTATTTTTAGAATTGTGTCTTCCATGTTGTAGCGATTAGCAAATGGGCTGTGTATGTGTGCGTAGACATCTATGCCGCCACATTCAGCGATTGTGTTCCACTGTGCCTGAGGCTACGGTGACAGTAGTGTAGCAAATGTGCACTAGTGTATATTTCACCCAGCCTGAGGGCACACTTCACACGCCCAGCTGCTTGCCTAAGGGCACACTTTAGACTTCACCGCTATGCCTTTTATCAGTGGTAGTGTGTACTTCACCACTTCACCTTACAGAGCACCTAATTCTATTGTTCTATTGTTCTATTATCGATCTATTGTTCAATTTACCTATATCTTCCTATTTCAGGCTGCATTCTAGGAAAAAACCCTTGAGGGCAGATGCCTATGACCTTTATAATGGCTCTAGTATTGTGCACTCAAATAGTGTTCAGTCCCATAAACCATTTGGTTGGTGACATAATCCTTCTCTTGCTCAGCCTTGCCAAGACCCTCTCATGTATGCCATATGACAGTGGCAACAAGCTCAATTCTTGGAGGATCTCTATGCTCTCTGCTACATTTAGTGCTTCCTCTGCTGCAACACATCTAATTCAGCTCATGATGGGTTAGTTCTGATGTGCTAACGCAAGAACACTAAACCCCGAAGTAGGGCTGTACCTAAATTTTGAAAAAAACAAAGATTAAATACGCCTATCGCAAATTGGAAAAAACAGACTTTAGAAATAATTTTAATGGTAATGCAAATGAGAAATGGTGACTAAAACAATGTCTTTTTTGCTTTCCATGCCAAGCATTCAAGCAGTTTGCGCAGCCAAAGATCAGTGAAAATGTCAACCATGTGGAACTATTTCACAGTTTTTACAAGGGATATTAGACAGGTGTAATTTGTAATCACTGATCATGCAAGTATCAAGAAGGGGTACAATGCCTAAGAACTTTTCCACTGCAGGTTAGATGCTTGAAATTATGTCATTCTGCTCAATATTCAGAATACAAAACAACAGAAGCAAAAAGGAAGCTCATTGCAAGCTCACAGACACCATCAGGCACAGTTTGTCACAATTCACAAATGACATTGTCAAACGGTAACTAACAATAATAGTATTCAGTGCCTTGGATGCAATAACGATTCTCTGTTGTTGAGGACATTGGATTTTTGGAATATACTGTAGCCTATATACTGTAATAATTTTAGTATGTTTATTTTTGGTATGCTGTTTTTATTTATGGTCAATTTGTTTTGCTTTCAGTTTTTGACACAGAGTGTAATGAAATTTAATCTCTGTTTCAGCCAAGGATTTTTCTATTGGTGCCTTTGTACTAGTGCAGCTTGACAAATAGGTAAAGGTAGATAATATGACAGTATATTATTGTTATCATGCCAAATCACAATACGCTTTTCCGTGTAGTAGTAGTGGGATACTTTTTGGTAAACGCACAGGGGATCCTATAACAGCTATATATTTGTATCTTTTGTGTTTTTGTAAGATATCACAAGCCTCCTAAATGTAAATGTGTTAAAATTGTATTTAATGTAATTTTTATTTGGATATTACAAACCACAGTTAGGTGTGTTTTTTTTTTTTACTATTTGAACAAAATAGTTTTTTTGAGTAATGCGAGTTAAGCTTATAAATTGTATTTGAATCCTATATACAGTAACAAAACATGTATCATGATTCATTCTGCTGTGTTATGCATCATTATGAAGTAAACTGTCTTTTTAAAATCAAATTGCTTTGAAGGGTAGACTTCATCACATTCCATGCTTCATCAAGGAACTGCATTAGAGGCTTCTACTTTGCTTGATCTGCTCTTAATACATTCATTCTGTGACCTTTCATTCCCTCTTCTTCCTTTATGATGTTTCTCTCTCTCTCTCTCTCTCTGCCTCAGCTTTGGTTTAGGTACCATGTTGCTTTAAGTGATATATGTATATATGTAAAATATGTATCTATTGTATAAGTTGTAAATATTGCAAAATATATTATGTTTTATTGTGATAAAAGGTTAGGTTTTTTTCATGCTCA